TGTTTTCGGTTAACCGCGTTCTTAGCTCAAACCGAAAACCGGTTAACGTTTAACCCCCAGCTAACAATTTAAGAATGTTCTATAAAAATCATAAGAACGGTCATAACACTGTTTTTTGTGAGTTTCAAGGTGATTTTTTAGTGCTTGAAAGGATAATGTTCGTATTTTAAGATGAATAGTTTTTATTTTAAGAAATTATTAGTGGAAAACCCGGATGCTGGCAATAGGGCAATCCAACGACCTGTCAAAAAGAAATTCAAAATGGAGGCCAATGCCCTTTTATTTTTAAAAAATGCAGTTTTCTGACGAAAAATCTGACGAAATCCATATTAAAAAACCAAAAAGGCTTTCTACATAAACGGTGTATGGATCCAAGCCATTTACTATCCTCCACATCAACTTGTTTCGATAGCTGGAATAGCAGACAAATAAAATAAACATCAGGATTCAGGATTCGGTTAAGAATAAACTAAACAGGAAACAAATCCTGGATAGTACCTACCTTACCTACCTAATTGTTTGGTAGGTAAAGGTTTGTCACAAAGATCATAACTTTTGCAAACATCCGGGTTTTCCACTAATAATTTCTTAAACTAAAAACTTTCTATCTTAAAATATGAAAATTATCCTTCCAACCACTAGAAAATCATCTTATAACACCTCAAAATACACAAAAAACAGTTTTTTGATGAAAAATGTCACGGTTGTTTAAATTTATGGCGCCAATTTTTTGGCATTGACAGCCATCTTGTTTGGATTGCCCTATTAGGTAATGACAAAAGGTATATTAGAGAGTTCTCGTGCCGTCCAAATTTCAAATACCGTTACGCTATTTGACAAGTATGACAATTCTTACGGTATAGCGTTAGATGAGCCCGCTATCTAACGGAACTTACCGGATGCCTTACCGTAACGCTATGCTATGTCAAAACTAGTTGACGCTCCATTTATGTCTGCAAAAACAGCAACTTTTAATAATTCGCCCATAAAAAACACCAAGGGAAAATGAATCAAGCTCAGGAATCTTCAGAATAAATAAAAGTTAGATAAAAAAGCAAAAAAAGTGGGGGTAGATCACTCAACTCAGCTGTCAAAATGTGAACAGAATAGGGGATTAGAGGATTTATGTCTCTTCGTGCCCGAGAACTATAAAATACCATGTGAAATACCGTATTGTTAGCGGTACCGTATAACCGTGCGTTCGTTATTTTGGTCTGAGTTCTCCGAGCATGACTTTACCGTTCGTTTATTCAAAAAGTGTACTCGGTGCAGCCTCATTCGCGTTCGTTTATTAAAATTTCTGGCACTTTTATATAGCGTTAAACTGCTCTGTTCCCTCGCTGGTCAGGTGATTACGGCTCCGCTCAGCACGCTCTGCTCTTCGAGCAAAATACCGAACGCAAGGTTAGCGTAGCTTGTGACGCACGAGAACTTTCTATTTTCTTTGTGACAAATCTTTTCCTACTAAACAATTAGGTAGGTACTATCCAGGATTTGTTACCTGTCCAGTTTTTTCCTAACCCAATCCTGAATCCTGATGTTTATTTTATTTGTTTGCTATTCAAGGTATCAACACTGAGGATAAAATGACTTGGATCCATACACCGTTTATGCGGTGAGACTTTTTGGTTTTTTATTATGGATTTCGTCTCTTTTGTTACAATTCATGTAGGGCTACATGGATTGTAACCAGTCAGAGTGAATTTCATTGGTTGTAACTAGTTTTCTGACTGTTTTACTGTTTTCAACCAATGAAATTTGCTCTGACTGGTTTGTGATTTCTGCAGAAACAGACCTATTATCTTTGGGATTTCCTTATTACAAAACAAAAGTTTTAATTGCTTTGGTTTGAGACAATTTAAGTATAAGGTTATGATTAGATAATAGCTCTGTTCCAACACGACATGAGAACCGTTCTAGAACGGTAATTTCCAGTTACCCACCTATTTTTCAATAAGTTGAACGTTTTTCGTAATTGACAAATGAATTGATCGACTGGAAATTACCGTTCTAGAATGGTTCTCATGTCGGTTGGAATAGACCTATTATTGATGGCAAAACGTAACTGCGCCTGCGTATGACTAATATTTTGAAGAAAATTTTGCTACATTTTATTTGCCGTGTCAAACAGGTAAAAAGCGAAAGCGAATAGTACACTTACGAAATATTTCGTGAATAATTTCGTAAAGAAACTTTGCTGTGTGAAATGGCTCTGAAAGTTAAGTAGATGCGAATCACGAATCGCGAAGACCACGCCTATTGGTCATACCCCGAACTCACTCTGAGCGTATCCTTCACACTTCACAGAATTTCGTTCGGATTGGATTGCCGCGTCGAGTGAACGTTAACCCCGACACAACGCTGTAAGCTCCTGCACGTGGGACAGAAAAACATTTATAAAAGCCGCGTACAGACCGAATTTCCAACGCTAGCCAACGGCACATGTGAACTTTGTTGGAACACGTTGGCTTTGGTGTGTACAGCGGCGGCGGCGAATCGAAGCCAAAGCCGTTTTTTCGCGTCCACTTTTATGACATTGGTTTAAAACAGGTTTAAAGCGGGCAATGGTGTTTGCATTGACTGTTTCAAACCGGTTTTGAAACAGTGTCACAAAAGTGGACGCGAGAAAACCGCTCCACGCTTTCCAACGGGACCGTTGGCATTGGCAAGCGTTCGGTAGTCGAGCGGTAACATCATACGGAAGTTTAATTTTGACGAACTTGGTGTGGACGCGATTTGCGACTATTTGATTTCAGTCGTTGCAAAACATTTGTTCCGTTTTCGATAAGGAGTGGATAGAAGAAATGTTTTTAAAATAATTCAAATTTATAGAGATAATCCTATGTTGTGGGACCCCAAGGATGATTGATTGATATACACTACTACTATAGGATAGCCTATCCTTATAAGGCCTGTGTGGAAAAAATCCCCCCCTCACCCCACACCAAATCACCAGTTGTGACGTAGGCAGCATGTTATTTCTCGCCCTGACGTAGGCTGTTTAAACAACTGACGACTTAGTTATGACGTCGGAAATGGTGACGCACCAATATGGCGGCGATTACCAAAAACGAGGCCGATAAGCAATCCTGTAGGCGTGTAACATCCTTGGTGGGACCCTTCAAATTCCAAATTGGCGACAAAAAAGATAGACATTTGTTTTTATTTTCTTTTAATTCAGTGAACTATGTAGAACGAGAACATCCTGCACTTGCACACAACACAATAAATCATCATCACTTACGCTCGATGGCAACAGAAAAATTTGGGAAAACACGGAACTTGACCGAATCGCAACCAACGGTCTCCAATAGTTGTATTCCTTTCACACCTAGGAGGAGCTCCGGAACAGCTCTGAGGCGTTACGTGCTTTTATTCCTTTCGAAAAATGTTTGTTGCACCACGCATCTGTTCCCTTCAAATCGGGAGCGACAAGCCTAGTACTCATAACCACTCGAGTGTTTTAAACCCTTGAAAGGAATACAATTAATGCAACACTGAAAATCCGGTATGGACGATGTTCTCAAATCCTTCCAATGATTTCCAATTCCAACCGCAACGACAACACATGTGCCGTTGGCGTTGGTCTACGATGGAAATTCGGTCTGTACGCGACTTAAGCCGAATTTCCAACGCTAGCCAACGGCACATGTGAACTATGTTGGAACGCGTTGGCTTTGGTGTGTACGGCGGTGTGGACGATGTTCTCAAATCCTTTCTACTGCTTTTCAATTCCAACGCCAACGACAGCACATGTGCCGTTGGCGTTGGACTACGTTGGAAATTTGGTCTGTATGACGATTCGTTAAACTTGAACAGGCGAGACATCATAACAATCAAGACCGGACGCGTTTGTTCGCCTTTGCTAAAGTTCGACAGGCAGTACATTAAAGCTGGATTTATAAACTCTGACGTCCGCGCCCACGCCCGCGCTCGCGCTCACGCTCAACATAAATGAAGCAGATCACGAAGTTTGATTTATAAACACAAACGCCCACGCCCGCGTTCGAGTTCGCGCCCGAGTCCGCGCTGGAGATGGCCAAGTTTAAGCCAGGCGCAAACCAAAACGGTGGCGGCCGCGGGCGCGGTGGCGGTGACGAAGCGAACTAATATCCGCAAACCAACGCGTTTTTTCCGCGACAAATATTAGTACTTTCAGTATATTCTTTTTCGCTTCTGGATCAAGATTGGTTGCAGAGTTTGCTCTACTGGCATATTTTAATGAACTGCTCTCTGTTCTTTTTTCATTTATATTAATCTTTGTTTTACCAGGTGCTACTTGACTGTCATTTTTATCTTTTATTTTGATTGTAAAAGTACGCAATGAGTGCCCAAGACATGGAATAAGAAAAAGCCTTGTTTTTTTTTTTTGCACATTTTCGTTAAGTTTTTCAGTATCACACGACGTTTGCACTTCGCTGTACTGATGCAGATCGCGCGAACTAGGCGGAAAAATGATGTAGGCAGCGTTCTACCGCCGGCGCCGATCACAATGTGACCGCCGCAAAGCCGCGGTAGAACGCTGCAGGAACGGCGGGCGCGTTTTCCAGTTCGCCGCAGTGTGCACGCGGTGATTTATTTACATGTGCATTATGAGGCTGTGGCATTATTCGTTCGCCACCGCTACCGCCACCGCGCCCGCCACCGCCCCCGCTCTGGTTTGCGCCTGGCTTTATCTTCGACGCTCGCGTTCGAGCGCCTGGCCAATGAAAACGGTCATTTGACATGCATGCGCAACAACCAAATTTTTAAAATTTTGAACCTTTCTATTGTTGTTAATTTTGTGAGTCTTTTTTTCAAATTTATTTCAAATAAAAATAAATCAAATAAACCATTGACTCTGAGCACAAAATAAACAGAAAAAGAATGAATACGAAAAATATTTTGAGGTTATGTCAAATGTTATACGCGGGCCAATTACACTGCAGCAACAAACGACAGTCAAAAAGTTTATAAATCGTTTCCAACGCGAACTCGAACTCGGGTGTGAGCGCGAGCGCGGGCGCGGGCGTCAGAGTTTATAAATCCAGCTTTAGCTGGATTTATAAAAGATAATCAGACGAACTTTTCGTGTTACGTGTATTAGGTCATGTTCTCTTTCTTTAAATTTTAACCGGGATTTTATTATTCAACTAATGGAGTGGAGTATTCAAGATTGTATACTTTACCTTCAAATAGTTGCATTTTTTCGCGAAAATAAGCAACCAACTTACTACAAATGCATTCTTCCGTTGTAGCTATGTGAATTGCTGTATCTGTACGCGCCTTAAACCCAAGCTTGAAACCGCACATGTCTAGTGCAGCGCAGCTCAGAACGTCATCTGTCTAGTATCATCTGCAATCTGCAAAATAAATAAAGTTGTTGAAAAAAAAAAAAAAAAAAACAATTTTTGTTCCTAGAAATGTTACGGAATGTAGTGTAGAAGGCTTGAAAATTAAATTCCACAATAAAAAATCCATTTATATGTTTGTTACTTGGTTGTCAAGAAAATAAATCCAGAGATACCTGAAAAACTCTGTCACTGGGTCACAATCCGTGATGAAATTTTTTGGTTCCATTTTCATTTATGATCTTGAGATCTTGCATTCATCAACATCACACAAACATTAACACTAGTGGATGACCTTATTTTTAGAGGTGAGTGATATTTTTGTTAGATCTAAGTAGTAATTTGCAGATCCTCTTCATATTTCTGCACTAGGTATACTTTCCTGCAACACAATGCAGATGCAGACCTATCATACATCGAGAAAATGGAAAAGTTTTATTGTTAACTTTATACCTAAATTGTTCATCACTTTAAGGTTGAATTAGCATTTCGATTATGGTATGATAACCTCTTTGAGGTAGTATGCTATTCAAACACATTAGGAACAACAATGCTTTTTTTACAATAAATATAATTATTCACATGTCTGAAGTATGAATACTTTACCAAGCAAAAAGATTAGCTATTTTATCACACACTCACACTTGAATTGCTTATTTATCATGATTTTTGTTGTGATGTTCCTTAGCATTATTATAGGAACATCGCAGCAAAAATCATATTCCCAAATTGTTATTACGCATTTATTATGTTTTTTCTATTATTATTAGCAACAAAGGTATTTTTTTTACTACTAACCTAAGAAGTATTCATTATTCCATTTATTTTTCTAGGAAAAAATTGAATTTCTCTCCCTAGGTTAATAATGAATTGATGAAAAAATACCTAGGTCTATAATGAAAATGACGTCATGACGCAAGGATATTGTCATGACGTACCAGGTTTCTATTGGTTTAATTTCAATGTCAAACCGTCAATTTAAAAAAAAAAAAACAGGTTCCTGTGTGTACATTATAGGAAATTACCATAAGCTGTTGATAGAGAGCAGCACTTTCGACAAGAAAATATAATTTGAGCACAGATTTCAAACCTATTTTTTATTTTCTACTAGCATTAGTAAAAAAAATTCTATATATTCCTCGGTAGAGAAAGTCATTATATATCATGCACATTATAAACCTCGGCGCTTCGTGTCTCGGTATATAATGACCAACTTCTCTACGTAGGTATATAATGTACCTACTATCATCATTACTTAATTGTCAAAATTTGTAGTTTCCTATTTTTTTTTGGGGTAACTCCTCCTAAGTAACACATAGGATATTGTTTCATGGCTAGGTTGCTAGGTTGGCACAATTTATTTTTGAAATATACCTCTACTATTAGAAAGATTAAATACGTAACGGGTCTCAAAAAAACCAATCAGAAATTGCTGTGATTAGGGAAATGTACTTCGCATTATTGTTTCTTTATTGGTCATGATTTTTGACATGACACTCTGACATTAAAGTTCATAGAGAAAATTAAAGAAAAATATTGCTAAGACATATGTTTAAAAAATCATAGCAATCTTTGATTGTTTTTTTTTTTGAAGACCCGATGGCTTCCTTAATACCTAAAATCACATTATAGATCTGGTGACCACATTTGAATTTCATCATAAACTAATTATCGAATCAATCACATCCATTGTTTTAATTTCAGGCATTCCACATTCCACCTGCTGTTACCTGAAAGCTTAAATGCACCGAACCTACAATGAAAGTTTCATGACAAAAATTATTTAGTTTATCGCAAGTCGCGACCTAGGTTGAGACAAATATTTTTGAAAATGAGTGACAAGAATAAAAAATGGTCATGTGAATATTGCACTTACGAAAACTACCCTTCTGCTATTAAATGTACAATGTGCTGTGGCCTTAGGCCATTTGAAAATATTTACCGCTTAAGTGGTAAGCTTGGTGGTAAGTAATAGGGGCGTTTAAATAATTAACTTTATTTTTATTAAATTGATATTTTTTTTAGGGGATGAACTAGAGAAAAAAACACCATTTGTAGCTGGAGCTTCAGTAGAGAAAATTAAAAAAAATGCATATTTGAAAGGACCTCAGTGTGAAAATACCAGTAACTATATGAATAGTGTGGCTGGCATAAGAAGTGAGAGCCCACCCACTGCATTAAGTCTCCATGAACATATTCAGCCTCTCAGAATATCAGAAAATTCTGATTTGGCCCAATGTTTATCGAGAAACAACAGTCCAACATCAAGTTTATTCAATTTGGAAAATAGAAGAAGAACCTCACAAGCCAAATGGATGTGTCACATATGCACTTATGAAAATTGGCCCAAGTCCAGTAAATGTGCAATGTGTGGAACTATGAATAATCAAGCTCCTAATGCGATGATAGAAGATGATATTAATCAGATTGATATTTCATCACTAAATAATTTGGAAACTGAACGCACGCTAAGACAAATGAAACGTAATAAAGATTCAAAATGGCTCAATGCTTGTTTGGGAGTTGTAAAGGGGGATCCAAAACCTGTCGAAGTTTATCTGTCCTCTGGAGGAAATCCTGCTAGAACTTTAACAGCCTCTGAGTGTACCCTACTCAATAGAAAATCAGACTTTGATGTTGGCCACACTTTAGTGCATCTTGCAATAAAATTTGAAAGGGAAGACTTATTAGCAGTACTTCTCTCGCAAATTGAAGGATCTGCAGGATCAGCAATTAAAATGGTACCAAGTTATGTCGCACCGGATTTGGCAGCTGAAATAAGAAGACACTTTGCCAGTTCAATGAGACAAAGAAAAGGAACATTTCCTTGCCATTATGTCACCGAATTTCCAACTTTTGTATTGCCAGCAGAAGTTGACTCGCTTCCTCTTGCCGTCCAAAAACAATTGATGGCTGAACTGTTGGATAAAGACGCTCAAGAAGAATTGGAAGCTGGTGATGTAGCTGTGATAAATTGGGCACACGGTGCAGGGGTTTGCCGATTACACGCACTTTGGAACAGGTAAGATATGCATTTTGTAAAAAACAAATTGTAGTTTCCTTGTATGTGCCAAATATGTTACTTTTTTATTAAAATTATTATTATTATTAGTATAGCAATAGGAAGCGGTTAGTGTCCGATGAGTCTATTGCTTTAAATTGTCTAGGTTTTGGTCTTATGTATGAGAAGTTACAAATAATGCACTGTGGCATTATTCAATGTTTCTAGGATTTTGTCTAGTCTATTTTTAAATACATGCTTGTTAGGTGCACTTATAGTTTATTCACTTAAAGAATTCCACGGGTATACGACACGGTTGCTCAGGAAGTTCCTTATTCCGAGCAGTAGGGCCCTTTATCTTTTTGATTTTTTGTGGTGTCCTCTGAGATTGCGGTTTTGATTTAAATTTCAATTGTACATCTGATATCATAATGTCCGGCAAGGAGTAACCGCTGACAAATTTGTAGGTCTCTATTAGGTCACCTCTTTCTCTCCGCTGCTTCAGCGTTGTTAAATTGAATTTCTGTAGCCTGTCTAATCTCAAGTGGAATTTTAGTTGTTCTACATTGTACTCGCTCCAAAAGTTCGATGTCTAATATATTAAGGGTTCCACACTGTATGGCCATATTCTAACTTGGGTCGGATGTGAGTAGTGTAAAGCTTTTTTATCAAGCTAATGGAGTGGTTTGCAAAGGCTAGTTTCATCAAGTAGGACATCTGGTTGGCCTTTTTTACTATATGTCCTATATGTGTTTCCCATTTTAGATCGATAGTTACATATAAACTTAGGTCCTTCTGTTCTTTTACATTTTTTAATTCTATGTTGTTGATTTTGTACTGAATCATTGGGTTTTTGCGACCTATATGCAGCACTGTGCATTTTGCCTCGTTGAGCTTGAGTTGCCAGGTTCTTTCTCATTGGTCTATGGTTTGCAGATCTTCTTGGAACAGGTGCATTTGTGTCAGTAGGATGCAAACATTTTTTTTGTCATCTGCAAAGGCTTCGATGTTTGCTCTAATGCTTTTTGCTAGGTCTGTTATGTAGATCAAAAAGAAAATAAAAGCTATGACTGATCCTTGTGGTACTCCACTTGTGACTCTGTAGAGGTCTGAGTAGTTTCCTTTTGCTCTCACTTGGAAATGTCTGTCTTTGAGAAAGTTCTTGCTCCACTGTAGGTAGAAGCCTCGGATTTCACAGTTATCCAGTTTGTATAACAGCCTTTTGTGAGGGACAGTATCAAATGCTTTTTGGAAATCCAAGTATAGTATATCCACTGGGTTTGCCTCATCAATTTCTTTAGTCCATGCATTTAAGCAGTTGAGTAGATTTGTGGTAGTAGATCTACTTGGTAGAAAGCTGTGCTGTGTGGATAATATCGTCACTGTCATTACGAAGTGGCCAATCTCTGATTCACCAACTTTTCAGGACAACGTTTTGAAGAAAACTCTACTGTTCATTTTATCTGAAGCATTGGATATAATTCAGTATCAGAACTTGTTTTTTCATAATATATAACACAAAAGTATACTCAGAACATTGAGACATCTTTTTTGAAAGAAAAAATTGGACTTTTCTGTAAATAAATTATTAAGAAGATAGGCCCGTTCGTAATAACAAAAATAAATGTTTGGCTGTTTGAAAAAGCAGATATGCCGCTAAAATTGAATAATGGTCACACGGTGTATTATGGAGATATGCCAGTTCGTCACACATAGATATAGTTCTTTTAAGTATTTTTGTGGGAATAACTCATTTTCGCCAAATATTGAGATAGGCCTTTTCGTACTGACAGCGACAATATAATATGTGTGTCTAAGAGAAAAGTGGTCATTTCTTTGGCAATAATTTTTTCCAATAACTCACACAGTGTGCATGTCAGGCTAATTGATCTATAGTTAGCCGGATTATACTTGTCGCCGCTTTTGTAAATTGGTATTGCAATTGCTCAGGTCCATATTTCTGGTAGGATACCGTCTGCAAGAGAACTGTTAAATAGTGGTGTTATGGATGGTGCACAATTTCTCAGAAATACTGCAGGCATTCCATCTGGTCCTGGACCATCAGGTCTTTTAAAGCTTCGGTGACCGCTTCTGTGGTTATGATTATGTTTTTTAATTAGTCTTTGTTTCGTGTTTGTTGCGGCAACGAAGAAAAGTTGGATAAGAATTCATTTGTGAAGACTGATTCAAACTGACTTGCAAAGATATCTGCAGTGTTTTTTGGGTCCTTCAATATCTGTTGGTCTTTTGGATCTTTTATTACGAGATCATGAAGCTGTCTAGTTAGATTTCTCTTTATGTAGGAGTGGAAATGTTTATCGTTCTTATCCAGGACATTCTGCTCACATTAAAGACGTGCTTCAGTTATGAATGATTTTAGTTTGTTGTTTTGCGTCCTTTATATTTTATAATGTGCTTCCATTTAATTTTTTGGTCCACAATTCTCTTTTTTAATCGATTTCTTTAAAAATTCTCTCATTTATCCATGGTTTCTGTACGTTTGTTCTGCATATTTTTTCTGGAAAGAACTTTCCAATTGCTGTCGTGAGAATATCTTCGAAGTCTTGGTAGTTACTTACTGTTTTGATACTAATTATTTTATTTCTTATATGATCATTGACTGGTTCGTAGTTGTCTATGTAGAAGTTTTTTTTTTTAATTTATTTTTTGTAGGCTGTTTTTTGAGTTTGAGCTGCATTGTCGCAGCAAGTGTGGTCACTCTCGCCAAAAGGAGGTCTAGATTCTATGTTAGACATCATCTTTTTGTCACTTGATAATAAAAGATCCAAAAGGGAGCTCTGATTGTTTCTAAATCTGGTGTCGAAGGAGATTAGTTGGTGGCATCTCGATTCCTTGAAACATGTCAGGAATTCGTTGGCTTTTTGGCAAATGTTTATTCAGTTAAGTGATTGCCAACATATTTCCGGGTAGTTGAAATCTCCACAGATGAGAACGTTAGTATTTTCCTCAAAAATCCCCTTGATCAGATGACTAAGTTCTGAACTTTCGACTATATCAGTTCGCTCTGGTCTGTAGATGCATCCTATCAGGTACTTTTTTTCTGCTATTTCCATGTTTAAAAATATAGCGTCTATAGCGCCTTTGATGTTGTAGCTATTACTTAGGCTTACCTTGATCTTATGCCCTTTCGTTTCTGTCCTCACCAATATACAAACGCCACCACCCTCCTGTAACTATCGATCAGCTCTGTATAGGTTGTAGCCAGCCGTAGCAATTAGAGAGTTCGGAATATTTTTGTTCAGCCTGAGCCAAGTTTCTGTGATGAGAAGGATGGTGAGTTTCTCTTTTGTTAGTATGGAGTGTACTTCTTGTAATTTAGGACGGATTGATGATATGTTTGTATTGAAAAATGTGATATGTGGTAGTGGCGTAATTAGATTTTTGACTCCTCTGGGCTTACATAAATCCACCACTCATGTTTGTCAGTCAAGATATCGACAGGTCAACATATTTTACGTCACTCACAAATGTTTATAGATCATCGCTGTTTTCAAAATATGTTGACTTATCCCTTGTCAATATTTTGACATGACAAACATCATTATAACCTATATTCTTGAGGAAAAAGTCCATCTTTCAACGCATATATCTCAGTTGATTTGGTCACTCTATCATTTGCTGCAAATTCAGCTTCTGCAATCACATCAGACGTTTCTTAATAAGTTATCATTGGTATAATAAGACAATTGAACCATTCGCTCTCAGAGCTCCCGTAGCAATTAAATTCTGAGAAATATTTCTGGACTTTAATAATTCTGAAAAATGTTTTGATGTGAAGGAAGAACCACAACAAAACCACGATAATTACTTTTGTAGATTAAGGTTTACTATAAGTGGAAAAAAATACTGGCTTAAATTTTTGATAACCTCGAAAACACTTGCAAGGATAATTTTTTAAACACTTACTAAGACATATTTGTTATGTTTCTGTTTAATTTTTTCAAGAGGGCCAAATTTTTAACAGAAAATGGTTTATTACCTTTGGGGATCTTATGAAGCAATCCTTCCTTCTTATCACTATCTGAGCAGTCGGCGATAGATTTTAAACCATTTGAAATATAAGTTTTTATTTCTCATGCCTGGATACCAATATATTTTTTTTATAGCTTCAGCGAACTTCAGCACATTTATCTATTCCTAATTGTAACCTGGCCTGAATCATGACTTCTTATAAAATTGTTTTCCATACATTGACGTACATAAAATAAAAGCAGATGATTGTATTTTCTGTAAACTACCTATCTCATTTTTAAGAGTGGAAAGTTCGTGCTCAATAAATTCTTATAATTTCCTAAAGTTTAATGCCAGAAAATTTGCTTTTCATACCATTCTCCTATAACTTGGGTATGGGTACTGTCAAATCCAAATGTCAATTTATTGATATTCAAGATGGCGCCGTAGGCATAACAAACTTGACGTCCATAAGGGACTGTATTTTCTGTCAATTTGTAAAAAGTTTTTATCAGTTTGAGTCATATTGAGAACGGTTTTTTATAGAAATTTTTATTTTTGGCGTTGCTGTGGTTTATTTAATTTATGTTTTTGACATTCATTTGCCTCTGAACCACTTGATTTATGTCATAAATGGAGTTTTTCGCACTTACGCGGAAAAGTGGGGTTTCACGCACGCTTGTAGGAAGAATATATTTTTTTGACCTTTGAACTACCAAATAAGATAATATGCCTATAAATAGTGGTTGGTTGTGGAAGTCGCAGTGGCCGTGAAAAAAAAAATCTGTTCCTGGAATCCTGAAGTCAAAGATAAGCACTCTGAAGTTTATTGAAAATCAAAAAGTATTTATGCATTACATTTTTCAAGCTACTTACAGTTCTGAAGCACACGAGTCACAAACAACTCATAGGAGGTGAGATTTCCTCATGTAGCACATATTTAGGCCTTTCTACCTATTTGTTGGTTTTGTACCTGATGCCCAGTTACTTTAATGGTAGATAAATAATATTCCAATTATCTCGATTTTAGCTAGAGGGAAATTGCAATA